AGTTGTCCTTTTAAACAGAAGACAGGTACCAGGTTGAAGAAACTTCATTGCAAACTAAGGAGGGCCCATAAGGCAGAAGACGACTGATCTGCTTCTGCTCTGAGTGTATGTAAGGGGACTGCATCACAAAGTGTTACATTAGAAAAGGCTGAGTAGAGACTAGGAGACATCCCAGAACGCCCAACAAGCCACCCTCCTGAATGCACAGAACAACGCTGAAAAGGATAACAAGCACAACTTAGACAAGGACTGTGGAAATGGCAGCAAAATAGTCACAGAAAAACCTCCTAAATTAAATGGGGTTTTATCACAAATACACGCAGAAACTTCCTCTGGGAGAATAGTCTCATTGCCGAGGACCTTGAACTGAGAAAGCTTGGCTCTAACACAGACCTAAGTAAAGCCAGAGACCCAAAGAAAACTTCCTCTGGCTGCCTGTAACTGGAAAGCAGAGCAAATGGAAGTCACTCAGATACTCATGACCTATGTGATAAAGATCTTTCTGTCCTTATGCTCTCTGCCAGAGCTGTTCACTGAGGGGACATTGAACTAGGTGCCACACACCTGCCCATAAAGCAAGCATGTGAGTTTTTCAACCTCTTTACCGAAAGCAATAAAAGACCTATCACTTAGCCTCTCTGGTACCATCACTGTGACCAAGCAATACAATCCAGGAAGGAGTGACCTGTTTTCCAAGAAGATGAGAACAAGCAAGAGAACCGGCTGACAACATGGCATGTCAGCAGGAGGTGCAGACAAGAGATCTCCCTGCTATTTTCAGTGTGGCAGCCCTCAGTATTCTAGGTTTGATTGCAGGTCTCCCCAAGGAGGGCAGGGAAGCCAAAGCTAACCTCAGGCGCTGCTCTAGCCACTCATCCCTTACTCCGTCACATAGATTCTTTTGCAATCAGCCAAATGTAGCATTGTCCCACAGGCCAAAAAACCATCATTTTAAGCCTTTGATCGATCTTTTTCACCTAAGGGCAACAGACAAATCAGAGGGTTTCTCCTGATATTGGTAAGGAATTTGTTTTTCTTCTTTCAGGACAAGAGCAAGATACTCAGAAGTTCATTACTAAAGTTGTGCTAACAAAAATGTCATTTTTCTCACTGAAATTAAACCCACTCCCTTCAAAATTTTTCTTTGGGTCCAGTGAAACTTTGGACATGACAGTTCAGAGATTTCAAAAATGTTTGATTTATTTTTCAATATGTTAAATTAAAGGCAGTGAAATCTGTCCTTAAACATCATTTTGAAATAAAAACTGGAAATGTTTCATTTAGAAAACACCAAGACAAAATGTTTTCACTTCTTTTTCAGCCCAAACTGCATTTTTTAATAAATAAACTGCTTGTCCAGAAATGTTTCTCAGTTCCATTCAGTGCCCCTTGAGAAATTTAGTACCCAGATTATATGATTTAGATCATTGTTGCTGTCATGTGATTGGTAAACTGTCCAAAATATTGTAAAGCAAGGATCATCATAAAAAGCAGCAAGCTTGGGCTGTCTCCCATGGACACCGAAGGGATTACAGGTAAGGATGATCATTTATGGAATGGATGTTAAGAGTAAACTTCCTACATAAATATAAACAGGCAAGAGCCACAAGACCAGGGAGGAATAGGAAATAATCCAGGGAATCTCAAAAATATTGGGAAGATGAGCAGGAAATGAGAAAACACATCTAACCCACCTAAGGAAAAGCAACATAAAGCCCAGAACCTCAAGGGAGAGAAGAACCAAAGGAACAGAAATTTCTAGGAGGGACTCAAAGGGGCAAGGTACACAGCAAGTAAGAATGAAGTTTGTGATGCAGCATGGCACAGAAAAAGCCAATGCAATTTTGAGATCTGCAAGAGCACAGTGATCACATCATGGAGTAATAGAGAAAATGGTTTCTCTTTCTCTCTCCATCAGTGGTTCTCAACCTTCTCAGACTCAAAGCACCCATTGTTAGACTCCAGCTCTTAGCTTTCACTCACTTTCAACTTTGTAAAGGACTTAGACCACAACAGCCCAGAAAGGTTTAACACCTAAAAATGGCTTCTTAATTGAAATTTCTAGGTTTATCTTATGAACCATGTGTAGGTGTTTCTACACCTAACAGTGCTAATATTGGGTGGTACCCCACAGCACTCTTTGAAGGATCTTACAGCTCTGTAGTTGAGAATCACTGCTCTACACCTTTGGTCCAACAATAGGTGTGATATCAGTCCAGATATTCAAAATCCACCTTCTCACTTTATCATGCTTCATGCCAGGGTGATTCATCTCTAGTCTCTATCACTAATCTTCCAAGTAGATTCTACTAGTAGTGAGCAGCTTCCAGGTTACAGGATGCTTTTGGGGTTTTTTTATAATATGTGTTATGGCTGTGGTATGTAAGAGGTTAGAGTGGACAGTTTATAGGCCTCTTTAGATAAATGATTGCCTGGAAATGCACAGAACTGAACTCAATGGCCTGAAATGCTCCTTTCAGTTCTGTGCTCCTGTTATGGCAGGGGAAAAGTGAGCTGAGCCCTGCAGGTGGAGACTAGTCTGGCAATGTGCTGACTTAGCATACTGCCTGGCTGTCATCTACAGACCTCCTAGGACAGCCCATAGCCATGCTAGACTTTGTCTAAACTAGGATTTAAGAGTGTAATGTCAGGACATGTTGGCTAACATCCTTGAAGAGTCTAGTGTAAAATAGGCCCACTGCTTTTAGTATGTGTCAAAATGAGCTAATTGAAGTGTAAGGGAAGCACAGGTTTTAATTTGACCAGCCTGGGACGTTGTAGAGTACCCATTGCTTTATCTACCCTACACTCTCAAATATGTAAGTGAGAATATGCTATCTAACACATGTCAACATCATACTTTTGAATTGTACTGTACACAAAGTCATAGGTGTCCATGTGCCCCTCAGGTGCTACCAATGGTCCTCAGTAGTGGTTTTTACTAGCAAAAGCCCAGATTAATTGATTTAGGTCATTGCATGAACATTATAACTTTGGAGGGAGTTCAGAGAAAAGCGAGAAAAATGATGAGGGAGCTTGAAGGGACTGAATTATAGGAGAGACTAAGGGAACTAAATGTGTCTAGGACGGCTCAGAAGTGACTCAATGGGGACTGAATGTTATACAATAGTTTCTGATTTGATAAACATGAAAAAGGAAGGAAAACCACTCAGTATAATAGCTTGGGGGGTTGTTTTGTTTTGGTTTGTTTTTAAGGATGAAATTAAGACTTGAAAAACAAAGGCAAAACATCAGGACAGGAGATGGGACATACAGTCATTGGGAAACTAGGATTTCTGCTCTGCATAAAATTCCAATATTTCAAATATTTTGTTGCAAATTATAACAAAAAAATAGCATGTTAAATTTTCCATGAAATTAACATTTTGAAAAAGAATCTACTTTGGGACCCCTGAAAAAAATCATTTCAAGAATAGTAAACTATGTCATTTTGATAATGTAAAAATGCCACGTTGATAAGGTTTAGTTTTGACTTCTGTTGTTTGATTCATTACACTTCAATATATATGCAATATACCATATATTATATATACAAATACTTAAAGGAATTGAATCAAAATGATAGTCAAAATGAAACATTTAAACTTTATCAAAAAAGATAAACTTGAAATGTTTCATATTGACCTTTTTCCCCTAAGAAATTTCATCACAGTGGATAGGTATCCACAATATATTTTTATTTCAGTGAAAGTGGATTTATTAACAGAAACCAGTTCCACTGAAAATTTTTGTCTAGCTGTAGTTTAAAACTCTCTGTCACAAAACAGTAGAAAATGCGCCCTAGGAAGCTATCTTAAATTGGCCCCCTGAGGGTAGACTGAAAATGGTATAATGTCTTTTCTATCTTTAACTCCTGTGATTTTCAGATTTTAGTGTGGCTTCATTGATAACAATCACCAGGCCGACCTCAACGATCTTTCCTCATTAATTATGTGAATTGCTAATTTGTTGTTACACATTGTGCTAAAATCTAATCCGATGAAGGTGCCTAATGTGATCCCTGTTCTACATGCAGAGATTTGGGGCTCTGAAATATATTCCAAATTACTAAATGTCTCGTTTATCCTTCCTGCTGAAGGCACTGAATGTCTGGCAACCCAGGGACCCTCTTCACAATGCTTTATATCACTATCAATGTGTTGAACTCTGTTTAGCCAAAGACCAGAGTAAACTTCTCCTATACTGCCCCCTGCGGGGTAATGGGGAGTTTAGCTACACAGCCTGTTCAATCTATGGTCTCTATTCCAAGATTGCCAGTCCCCAATGATGTTGTCTTTTATTAACTTGGAAATGGATTGACACCTACCAATTCATGTCATGTAGCATTTCACTGTCACTGTTGACTCAGGTTGGATTTGAAGTGGGGACCTACAGGGAGAAACTTTAAAGCTTCGATTATCAAGGTTATGGAAAGTAGTGTCAGATCCCTTGATGTGATAAGACACTATAGGAAAATTAAGGTCCTGGTTTTTGGTTTTTATATTTACCTTGTAGTTGTCCAGCCAGTTCCCATGATCTAAAGAAAGGATAATGTGTGCTCTTTCACTCTTTATTCTCTCTTTTTATGTCATTTTATTTTCCTTTCCTGTGGAGATTTTCACCTACCTGGAAAATAAACACTTCTACCTACACAATAACCCTAGATCACAGAAAGAATCACTTTTCAGGTATAGGACGGCAAGTGATTTGTGGAGGTGTGTGTAGTTACATACACAGATTACAGCTGTCTTGCTGGATGGGGGTTCCTTGTGCTCCATTCCCTGGCACCAGCATCTCTTATTACCTTCACAGTTCAATGTACTTCTCACTGTCAATGGGCAACACTAGGCAACTGCACATGTTAATCATAGTGAAAGCAATGCTTTCATGTCAGGGCTGCTTATTATGGTACTGTGTCTTTCTCTCTGTCTCTGATGTCCACAAAGACTTGTGGGGAACATTACAAGCTGGACAGCTAGTGGCCTGGAAGGAGAAGCTGGACAGCTAGCGGCTTGGAAGGAGAAGCAAGAAGCTGTGAAGCAAGAAGCTGTGAAGAATCTAGAAAAGAGATGAAGAAGGAAGCTAAAGATTTTGTTTACAGGTCTGTAACCTGGGATGGTGAGAGTTTTATTTTTCAGGTTGACAGGCACTGGAGGAGATACGGCCATGACCCCACTAGGTGGTGATGATAGCCTCAATAATGGCTGCATAGGCAGTCATTTAATATAACTGCATATAGCATAGAGATATTTCATATAATATAAAGGAACTGATCAGCCATTGAGCACAACCCCCCCCCCCAACAACTTACCATCTAAAATGCAACAAATACAATCTATTGGAAAATTGTTTAGGCACAGGGGTGTCACAGACAGTATCCAGACAGGAGGCTTCACAGGACTGAAATTTGAGGAAGGGTTTGATGAAAAGAGAATGAAAATATAAGGCACTACATGAATGAGGCATAGGGAGTATGAATGACAGTGCAGAGGCAAGAGTGGGAGGCACATACAGGCAGGAAGTAAGGGGCAGTTTTTGCTGAAACTGGCAGCTAATGAGATAATGTTGGAATATGACTGGAGGGTGAACTGACTGCTGTTATGACTACCAAAAATTGTTTGTTTGCTGTCTTCTGAGATTCTCATTGGCTGGCTAGTTTTTCAGCCCTGGTAGAGCAGGTATATCTAGCAGTTCTCCAGAGCCAGGAGAGTGAGAAAGCAGCAAGCACAGATCATCGGTCAGAACATGAGAATGGATCTGAAGATGCACCTAGTCCTTCTTGCATCTCTCCTTTATTCTACTGTAGCCTTCCCTATTCCGGTAAGAGCAATGCCACACAATCCTTCTATTTCTTATGTTTGAGGTTGCTTCTTTGGCTGAAGTTGGAGGTGTCTTTTAAATATTTCTTGTCCATGGTACTAAAATAAATACACTAGTTTGTAACATAATTTTCAACAAGTCTATGAATGTATTTATTCTTTTGGGGGTTTGGGGTTGTTGGGAGGAAACTTTTTGTTTGTTTTGTCTCATTTTTAACTTCTTACATGACGATAAAATGCCAATCCATTGATTTTGCAGGACTATGAAGGTCATGCTAACACAAGTAAGTAGGATTTATAAAATATTTTGAAAAACCATGAGAAATGGTCAGTTATTTGCCATATTAAAATTGGACACAGCTAGAGACTTCTTGCCATTTCCTTAGCTACTGAAAATCATGGTTGCACCACTTAGGTCACCTAAGCAATACCAGTTATAGCAGCTGAGGATGCAGACATTGGTCATTTGTTTATCCGGGAATATATGTGCCACAAGATTGAACATATGTGGTTTTCAGTGAATTGTTGGCTTTCTGCTAAATTTCCCTTTCAGGTCAGGGAGTCAGAAATGAACTAACAAAACAAACCCAAATTTTTCATTTTCTAAAGTTTTGTTATTACAAATTTCTCAAAATCCTTCACTGTGTTTAAAAAAGCAATCACAGCAGGAGGAACAAAAAATGAGCAGGGGCAGACAAGGAAGCAAAGATGTCTTTGGTCATCTTCAGTTGAAATTTTGAAAAGAGATGGGGTATCACATAGCCACAGGGAAAAGCAGCACTGCCTAGGTAGCAGGGGCTGCCTAGGAGAATGCAGCTTGTCCAGCTGTGGTGAGATCAAGGGGAAGGAAAGAAATAAACTCATAGCTGAGGAAAAGAGACACAGCAAGGTAACGTCAATTAGAAAAAGCCCAAACTTTTAAGAACAAAGAGAACATGTTTGCATTAGACCCTGAAATGAACACAGCATGTTGATTGAGGATGATTATCCTGAGGACATAAAGAGGGAAGTGACCCCCTTTAGTGACATTTTATAGTTCATTCAAGGTAGATGATATGAAACCGCATAACCAGTTACTGCCATTCCATATTCTATGAAATATAGACATAAACTAATGTGGTGCCAAGCCAGCACACTGTTTGCCTATATCTACTATAAAATCTAGAGCACTAGTCTCCGCACTTTCTATCTTTCCTTGCTGACTGAAGTACCATCTTTTGATATGTCAAGTGCTCTTAGCAAATTTAGGAGTTGATCTAGTTATGTGCAGATATTCTTGATAGCAGTCACTTACTTAGGTTTGGGCTTATGCTGTTCCTTGTTGTCACTTAAAATTGTACTGGACTCCCCAGAGCAGACCAGGAGAAGCTACACTACAGATCCTACTCTTTCATATAGGCCAGTAGAGTTGGTCCCACTTGTAAGCTTGCTCATGTTTTACACTGAAAAAGGGAGGTGCAGCTTTCAAGACACTAGACAATAACCCCTTGCTCATATTTGATGTTTAGGATTAGAAATAATTCTTATTGTTATCTGCAAAACCACATAGACACTCTTACCCCTCCCAATCAGCAAATTACACGTGGATCGAAGAAGCAATTCAGTATCAGTTTGCTGAATGCTGTAGCAGTGCAAAAGAAAGCCAAGAATATAAAGATGGAAACCATAAATAAAACACTGATAGGCATCTTAAAAGTATCTTAACTCTATTGTGTTGATAGATAACGTGGTGAGGCACAAACCAGTGCAAGTATTTACTCAATCTTTTGGATTAGACTAACACCATGTGGACAGATGGTATCCAGTTTTTTTATTGGGTATGTTTCACAAGACATTAAATTCATTTAAAATTGATTTTTTAGGATATTGTATTTCCCTTTAGGAACTTTTATGTCAAGATTTTAACTGTCATGTTTATCTCTTCAAACTGACATTAGCCACATTAGAAGGAAGTATTAATATCCATGGCTAAAAACTAGTGAAACAGCTATCAGGTCAGGACCAGTATCAGTACCATCTAATTCCAAATTACATTACTGTCAGAATACTGTAAAGCAGCCCTCATATGACTGAAAAACAAGTCCAAATATCTGTACTGACTGTCAGCTTCTACTGGTCTCTTGTAACTGGCATCCTGTGAGAGAGAGACTGAAAGCTGGTCTGAGTAAGGATTGACAGAAACTGTCTAGATCCATTCACCTGAATGAGCGGGGTAGCATCAAAAGGTTCCCCAGATGGACCTAGCTGGGATTAGCCCTGAGTGTTAATCTCAAAGAGCTCAGAGGGAAAGGGTAAGCATTGAAGAGGACCCCAGTTTCACATTTTAATTCAGGAAGTATACAGTGAACCCCTAGACCGATGATTCTTAACAAGGGTGCCATGGTTTTCAAGGGTGCCTGAGGATCCACACAATATTAGCACCGTTGGATGTGAAAACATGATTCACCAAATAAACTCAGAGATTTCAAATAGGAATCTACAATGTTAAAAGCATTGCGTGCCAATATATGTGCTCCAATGCATTCTAATTAGAATGTGTTAGAGCAAACTTGATTAATTGAGTCTGCTTCACATCCTAATTAGAATGCCTTAGCACTGCTGCAACATCATGTGTATAGGCCCCTGCAGGTTTAAAAATGTCCACTGGGCTGCTTTAACTACAGCTTACCAGTTGAGCTTTAACTAAAGCATCCTGTGGACATTTTTAAATATGCAGGGGCTTCATACACATGATGCTGCAGAGTTTTAATTAGAGTGGCTCTCCAGGAACCGCTCTAATTAAAACAGACCCCTCACCACCCCTGAGCACATGTAAAGGCACTCATTCTGAACTGTTGTGGTCTTTCTGACTTTTTTTGCAACAGAAGAATTGCTCTATTACTTTTGATACTCAGAAAACAAGTGAAAACTTAAGGTGGTAATTTCTGAGCTTTGTCTTGAGTCTAAGCAGGAGTGCCTTGAGTCTAAAAAGGTAGCGAACCACTGCCCTAAACTGTACTGTATGATCTACTTGGTCTTGATAAATATGTGGCTAAGAAGGCAAAGTAATGAGGAAGTAAAATGAAACTGTTTACAAATGTGGACTCAGAGGGAAACAGGTGTGAAAGACTTACAAGACATTTTAGGAAACCAATTCTTCTCTTCTATTTGAGAATGCCTTCAGTTATGTTCTGGGATATATTTAATTCCTGCATAGTCTCAAGAGTTTACAGAGCTGGTGTTAAACTGCCACAAACTCCCCTGAAAAATTCTATTTAAAAATCAAAATGAAAAGAAGGCTGCATTGCAAGGTATCATTTTCTTTTCAAAATTGCTTTTAATTTTTTGGATTTTTGCCAAGTGGGTTAATAAACATGTGTTCCAGTAGTGTCTGTGAGAAGAAAACATGTATTTGTTCTTGGGTCATTTTGACTTTATCCATAGTTATGCTGATACTATTTGATTTTTCTCCTTCTTAAAGACAAAAATCCAGGACTCCCTGAAGTAAATCTCCCAGGGATTATTTTTTAGCTATATGTCTAAAAACAATCTAATACTATACAAAACTTCCGAGCACTGTGCAGTATAGCTAAGGGGAAGAGAGAGAAATGCAAGAGAAAGAAAGAATGATTCTTATTTAATTTGAAGATGCATCTCAAAACCTCACCCTTTTTTTTCCCCTCTTTTACTTCACAGCAGGAAATCATATACAGGTAAGAGAAATTGAAGTCAATATTTTTATTCAGAACTGAAAGTGTGATTTCCCCCACAGCAGAAAGTCCTCCCACAGAAGAGACGTGACAATGCATGTCTACAATCCTTGCTGCCTTACCTAACCCAAGGGCAGTCACAGCTTTTCCACCTGCCATACCTCATAGGCAAATCCAGAGCTGGCTAGCTATCCTACAATTCTCAGATCCAGTTAACAGTTTATTCTGAAAGATTTCATTGTGGGATGGTAATTAGAGGTCTATTGCAATGAATCAACAACAACACGATCAGTAAAATAAATAAGGCTGGAACAACTGAGGCTTAAATGGTAATGTCAGAATTACATATCCTTAGTCTCCTATATAGTGAGTGACATTAAAATCTCATCATTTATCAGCAGTTGTCAAAGAATATCTAAGGTTCAATTTTATTTTGCAGCATTTAGAATGGCATTTATGAGATTGTGCTGGTGATTGATGGCTTATAACAGTATCTGCTACAGTTATATTTGTAACCTAAAAAATATAATGTGCTTATTATGAACAATATTGTACCACATTGTTCTTGCAGAGTTCTGAAAAAGAGGATGAATATGGTATGTATCATTCAAAGTTTATTTACAGTTTCAGCATTTAATAATGAATATGGACAATTAGCTCCCCAGTTTCTCCGGAGAATAAGATCTACAGCCAAGTTAGGTTATTGGGCCCAGCTGAATTCAACTTAGCTGAAGACCTCTATGGGGAGGAGTAAATGTGGTCTTATGCTGCCTTTCTTCCCTTAATTTTGGGGTCAACTGGTCACCAACTTGGTCTACAGAGCAACTAACTTTGTTCTAATTTGTACCTAGTTGCAATGGCTCTCAAGAGGTCAATCTGGAACTAAGGATCACCAGGGTGGCCACAAGCTTTCTCAATTCCACTTCTACATCATATACAGGGGGCTGAAATATACAGAGTTTGAACTGTAGGGTACCCATTCTGCTTCTATGCCCCTGGTCCCCTAGGTAAAGGGAATCCTTAGCTGGTCAACTGAGCCTGCTTCAAGTCAGCTTTGTGTTACCAGAAGAGCACAAACCAGATGTGGTCCTCAATGTGTGATTGCTAAACAGCAGAAAGACTGATTTGTGAGGCTGGGTTAACAACAAAGTAATTATAGCTCTTGTAAGGGTGACAAGAATTTGTACCCTGAGCAAAATAAATGTGTTTTTTTGCTCTGCCAGTACATGAATATCTTTACTCCTGGTCTGAATTTCTCACACACACGTGTACATCAGAATTAGTTCAATGAAACAATATTAATACATCACTGGAAGGAGAAAACTAATGTTCTTGCATTTCTGTGCAGAAAGAGAGCTGGCTACAAAGTCTGACTCCCAGGAGGAGGCTGATTTTAATCAAATTTTGAAAGCTAACAAAGGTAATGACTCCAAAGCCACATCTATGTCTTGTGTTTTTCAGTTCCTTTTTTCCCCTACTGCCTTTGACAGCAAATGGCCTGATATTTCTCCTGTTTATTATACTTAAAGAGCTTAGATGAACTCCAGGAAAAGCTACAAGGGACACCCTGGCTAGCCAGTCTTTGTCTGTTAAACCTGGAATTGTTTTCCAAACCTGTTCACATCTGATATTGAAGACTGTCCAAAACATGTGCATGTTTGTTTGTGTACATATGTATAGATAGCTAGATAAATATGTATATGTACATTTGTGTGTGTGTATGTATATCAAGTTTTTGTTGGCTGACACTCACTTCATCAGTTGATTAAGCATCTGATGAAATGAGCTTCATTCCACAAAAACTTGTTTTATACACACACACGCACATATATATATATATATATATATATTCTAATATTATAAAGCCTTAATCTGTCTGTTTGTCTATCTGTCTGTCCATAGCGCTTTATGCGCACTCTGATTGGCTGACAAACAGCCAATCAGAGTGTAAAGAAGCATTCAGACAGGAAGTGGTAGGGACACAGGGGACAGAGAGGGCCCCTCCTCCCCCCTGCCATGGCAGCCTGGCTTCACCCCCGCATCGGGCCTAGGTCCACTCCCCCCCTCCCTCTGCCACTGTGGCAGGGAGTGGGGGAGCAGGCCCAGACCCCAAGCAGCTGGAGGGAAGGGGGAGCGGGCCCAGACAGGGCGGAGGGGGCATGGGGCTCCGTCCCCACCCACTCTGCTCCCCTCCCCTTCTTCCCCCCCTGCCCCCGGTCATTCTTGACAGGCAATTGGCTAGTGTGTGTGTGTATATGTGTATATATATAACAGAATGTGTGGAATGAAGTTCGTTTCACATATATATGGTCTATTAGGTGCAAATCTATCCTGTTGCCTATTTTACATCAGACTAACATGACTAACTGTCTCATTGGAGATTATTAATGCTTTGGAGGTGTCTAGACTATGGAGGCAGGCTAATAGCAGCTTCTGCTTAAGTTTTGGATGGCTTTGCACATCTTTGGATTAAAAAAAAAGGTTCAGTATTTTGATGTCCTACTACAATATGTATGACTATAATATTGACAGGTATAATATGATAAATGTGTTATTATTATTGAATGCCCTTTGTCTTGAATGCCAATAGGGTTTGAGTAACTATGGGTTTGCAGGCTGATGAAAATATGCTCTTAGATGGGATATTTGGTGTTTCTTCAGGTCCACTCTGTCCCCATTTCCTGCCTTCTTTGAGTCTTCTGGATGTTTGAGGACTTGTTCTATGAGCTTGTTTTTCCAGATTTACTCCTCCAACAGTCTTTTTAAAAGTTTAACTCCAGCATATAGGAACAGAGACTCTCAGGCTAAACACAGACAACCAGAAAACCAGCCCTGATTAGGCCAGGATGTGACTTGCATCAAAACAGGCACAGAGCAGCTGTATACACACTTGGCTTAAATGACAATTAAGTTGAATTAGCCATAACAAGTGTTTATAGACATGCTTTGGAAGAGGCACCTTATTTAGAGGCGCCTGGAGCATCACGTATATCAGCATCCCCACACTGAAAAATGGAGGCAGGGGCCCTTTAACTAAAGCTTGTTGAACAAGCTTTAGTTAAAGCATCCCCACCACCATTTTTCAGTGTGGGGACACTGATACAAGTGATGCTGGAGTCTGCTGGAGCATGGTAATTACAACGTTCCAGCAGACTCAATTAATTGCAATGCACTGTAATTACAGCGTATCAGAGCCACCTCCCTGCACACATATAGGAGCCCAATTATTCCAAGCCAAAGTGTTAATTCAAATAATTCACAAGTGCTTAATGTGGGACATTGAACTTGTCTATCTATAAAGTCTCAATTTGATGAGGCCCAAAATGCTCTGATGTGAATCAAACCAGTTGTCTGTTTCTAGCCCCAGGCCTGTAGCCCTCCCTATGCAACACTCCTGCCCCTTCAATTTCCAGGACCCTCCATTTCCTCCATATTTCCCCTATCTTTTGAATGCTTTGACATTTTTAATGGCTGCAGAAATGTCTCTTCCACCCATTCTCATCACTTTCCTGAGTCTGCCCTACCTAACAGTAGCAGAATTTCCATCAACCCAAATGACCTTCTTGTCTTCTATACTGCCATCCTTTCTCACTGTCTCCCTTTCTCTTTCTCCACACAGATAGTTCCCAGTTCTTGCTTGAAGGTGACATTGTTGCAACAAGGAGCCGCAGTGCTATGGGCTGTCCAAGTAACTCATGTTTTTGGCCCCAGGCCAGCGATGGGATTGTCCATGTCCCCTATGTCTTGTCCTCTGATTATGGTGATTTTGCATTTCTCTACCTATTTTTTTTAATTAATTGTATTCAGTTTTTAATTAGCTTACTTGGAGAAACAGAGAAACAAAGTGAGAAGGCAAGCAGTTGAGGCAACATATAGCAGTAGTTTACTTTTGCCACACTCACACAGACCAGCCATCCATTACCACAAGATAAGTGAAAAAGGAGCACATTTTCACAAGGGAATCTCACCCTTTCCATTGATAATGGTATGCTCTTGTAGATGGTGATCACACTTTTTCATAAGGGTTCTGCTATTGTATATGTCTTTATGATGCATTTGCTTATTGCAAAACACTTTGGGTGAGATTACACATTAGTTAGCAGATGCTAATTGTAAGGAATACTAGCCTATGTCAAGGTTAACAAGTTAACCAACAGGTGAACACCTGGTGAACAACAGGTGAACACCTTTTTCTCAGGTGAATACCTGGAAGTTCACTTAACTTAAGCTAGGTAGCACAACTCAAAGATAACCCTTGCCCAAAGCGGCATAACTTTAAGATGCCTAAAGGACAGTTGTCATTTGTTAAAGAGTGCTAATGTATGACCATTCAGGGCATTTTTACACATGCTCCGGGGGCTGAGGGGTGCACTCTGAGAGCCACTCTGATTAAAGCGCCTGCAGCTTCTTGTGTCATTTTGAAGCATCCCCATGCTTCAAAATGATAGCGGGGCACTTTAACTAAAGCTCATTTGATTAATTAAGCCTGTTTTGATGCACTGTAATTACAGCACATTGGAGCAGCCTCTTGGCATGTCTACAGGCACCCTCAAATTTAAAGTCCTGTTAACACGCGCTAATTGTAATGTGTAATCTTACCATCAGAAAGACACATTATTTTGTTAAAGTGTTTTCCCTAAGTAACAGCAAGTGTTCAATCCCCAGATATACCCACCCTTACAACATAAGAGCACAAACTCAGAAACTAGCCTGCTGACTAAATCCTGTAAAATTCTGGATAAATAGAAGGGCCATGCCTTGGTCTATTACAGTATTTAGGGAGAAATGCATTCCTGTACAATGGGCCAGAAGGAGACTTACATAGCACTTAGCTCCCTCTGAAATTGTCTTAAGAATACATGAATATTTGTACTTCAAATAATTATTCTCATGTAACATGTAATTTACCACTTTTCTCCCCAGATGAGAATGAGAGAAAAACATTTGCTGAAGCCATTGCAGAATTTGAAACTTTGACTTGTATTCATTTTGTGGGGCGCAAGACAGAAAAGGACTATATAGATATTAAATCTGAAAAGGGGTGAGTCTCTTTTAGCTGCCTCTTCATGTCTTCTCTACTTTACACTGAAAAAATTTGGATAGGAAAGTGGACTGGATTTGAAAGAGAAATTTTAGCCCAGTTCAGAGTACAAAGTATTACACCACGATGACAAACAGTACCAGGGACACACTAAATACAGATGTAATTTATAAAACCAGAAAAAGTAGCATTAAAGTAAGAAAGGATTTATGAGTATGATATTTTTTGTATGTGACCTGAAGAATGCACTATATTCAAAAGCTTGTCTAAATCGAATGAGAGGGATCACCCACAAAAATCCTTGCCACTCACATATTTCCTAGATCATCCTGGCTACATCACTCCAATGCTAGAAAATTCATCCCTAATTCATGCTGCTGTACCAGGTATTATAATGCAAAGTTTGTAGCCAGCTGTTATGGTTTTAATTTACTCCAGGAAGCATCACTTCTAACACAGACAAAGAACCAGCCCTCAGGGTCAGGGATGTATTAGTGTGTCAAATCCAATACCTCAATCTAATGGAGAAGTGTCCAATACCCATGACTGAAAGTGCCTACAAGTTTTGTCTTTCTCTAAAAGAAGCCCCAGGATGTACTTTAAGTAGTTGGAGAAGATTCCTGTTCATAAGGATTAGTGAGGGATGCTCACCTTAGACAGGATGCCACATGCAGAGGTCCAGGCACCATTTATAAGCTCGTATGAAACTTAAGTGGAACCCAGATTTCATTCTGGCCCTCTGCAGAGGGAGGATTTTGCCCCTAGCATGTGCTTCTAATATCATAATAAAGAGAAAGGGGAGGTCTCAAGGCCATGGGGGACTTCAGCAGCCTCCCCAGGAGCTTGCTTCTCTGCCCAACTTAAGTATGTCAGCTGTCAGGGGTAGCGCATCACTTTTTTAAGTGTTAATAGGTTAGACATATAGTTATATGGTATGGTTTAATCAGGAATAATGCTGCTTTCAACAGGGGTTTGGACTAGATAGCCTTCTGTGGTCCCTTTCAGCCCTACTTCTCATGAGCCTATGAATCACCATTCATTCCCTCAATAAATAGAGCCCTAAAGTCAGTTGCTCACTTATTTGATATGGTTCCTTCTTTCTTTTTCAATGTCCCTTTCAGCTGCTGGTCTTACTATGGAAAAATTGGAGGTGCACAGACATTGTCTTTGATGAAGCAAGGTTGCATATGGAAAGGGGTAATTCAGCATGAACTGGACCATACACTTGGCTTTTTACATGAACACACTCGAAGTGACAGGGACAATTACGTGAAGATTATGTGGCAGTATATTCATCCAAGTAGGTAGACTTAACCTCTCCTTTAGTGTAAATGCTGTGTTGGGTAATGCTCTGTTGTTCCCACCTGTTCCTTGCCCCTAGAGTAGAAGAGAAATGGATGGATCCTGTAAGTCTGATATTGTATATTACAGGTCATGTAGACAACTTTAAGAAATACAGTGACTCCAATAATCTGGACCTTCCATATGACTATTCTTCAGTGATGCACTATAGCGCGTAAGTGAAATTTCCTCATGGGAGGCACAAGGCCTTCAAGTTTCATGTTATAACTTAGGGGAGGTAATTACTCTAAGCATTAGCTTTTAATTATTTTCCTGAGGAAAATACAAACAGCTGTGATTCAATGCAAGTAGATCCTTCTCCACCTGTCCATCAGATCAGTTCACTATCCACATTAATGTTATTTGCAAGTGAGAATGAGGGTTGTTTTGTATGTACTCAGCTTGCCTACCATGCACCCAAATTAGGATTTTTGCCAGCACTGGTGCTTGACCTAATATGTGAACATCTCAAGGCAACAGCTTCAGAGTAGAACTCCTCACTTACCACTTAGAGAAAAGGAATGTACTCCTAAGGGCATTAATTGCTAGGCCTCAGGTGCAGGCAGGTACATCAGCAGAGACGTCTTTTTTTGTCCATGTAGAGTGCCTAGGTCAAGAGGATTCTGACCTACAACTATAACTCGAGGCATTACTATGTATACCAGAGCCACCTCCTGGGAGGTTTATTACTCCCCTAGAAGATAGGTGTGTGGAAGTTCATGATCCTGGGGGAAGACACATCTTTTCAGTTCATGTTCCTACTGCTCACATAGCATGCCAGGCAGCACCTACTGGTACATACTGTTCTGCCTTGCATGCACTACCTCCTAAAGTAGCAGCAATGAAATTGTGTTTGTGTTGAATTTCACCCCAGGCTTATTAGCTCTGCTGAGAGGCAGAATCAATCAGCCCGCCTACAGCACCATACTAAGGAGGAGGTGACAGTAATCCCAGTGCAGGAGATAGCACACATGAAGCAGTAGTGTGTTTCAGCATGAAGCTACCTGGCATGAAAAATGTGGGTATAGACATGGTATAGATATGCCCTAAGATATTTAGGGCCAGTTCTGTGCAAGGCTTTGAAAATCAGAGTACTGGCTTCAAACCAAAACCTATTCAGCTGTCAGCAGTACTGAGGGTGCTCAGTACATGAGTAGCAAGGCTGCTCCAGCATGCTGTAAGTACAGCATGCCAGAGCAGGCTTAATTAATTGAGTCTGCTGGAACATGGTAATTTCCGCACTTCACTAGACTCCAGCATCTCTTGTACCAATTTTCCCATGCTTAAAAATGGCAGCAGGGGCACTTTAACTGAAGTTTATTTGACAAGCTTTAGTTAAAGTGCCCCCGCCACCATTTTTCAGTGGTATACAGAAAATCATTGTTGGCAGTCCCTTGATATGAGGATGACAGTCTTCCAGGAAATAGCAGAGTCATGAGTTGAATTCATAGATGGCTGAAGAGGCTGATGCAAGATCCATGTGTTCAGTTGCAGATGTGGCAAATAGTTCCAGGAGAAAGAAGTAGATCCTGGTGATTTGAGGCTCAGGTCTTTCCCAATGTCTCGCTCATCTATTTGCATCCATAGAGAGGTAGAATGCACATTTCAGTCAGAAGTTGTTCTTTCCTCAATTATAGATGTTGCAAAAGTAATCTTTAAAATAAAGAGAAGTTTCTTAATATTTTTCCCCTCCGTGGAAAGTATTTTCTTCAGCAAAACCTAGGTATCCCTTCAGTCTAAGCATAATTCAAAATATTCTTACTTGTACTAATTCATCCCTGGGGTTACTCCATTCATTTGACCTATTATAACCTAATATTTAAATATGATTTAGGTGGTACATAGGCCAAAGAGAGGCTAGTCCTGGCTTGACTTTCACATGCTCCAAATAATACTAAGGAATCATCATGCATTGCTTTTTCATATGAAATGACTGGTGAGAATACTTTTGCAATTAGAATATGGGATAATAGTAAGATTTACCAATCAGTCCCTTTGAAGTATGTGGCTTATGCGGTTAAAACTTGTAAAATGTAATTTGATTTTAAAAAAACCATTTGTTTCTGTTTTGGCAGACACACCTTCTCTAACACCTCTGGGAAAGCAACTATTGTGGCAATTCCTGATGCATCAGTACCTATTGGAAAGAAAAATGGACTGAGTAATTTGGATGTGGCCAAAATTAACAAGCTTTATAAATGCAGTAAGTGTTTTGCATTTGTCCATTCATCTTCTGCTCAAAGCATTTGCTATGATCCACTAGGCAACATCCAACAGGTGCTGAAACTGCTACTCTGAATTGTTGGCTTTAGAACATCCAGAGGAAGAATGCAAATACAAGGACTGGGATACACCTTACTTAAGCAGTACATCATTTCTGCTTCCAAGTCTAAATTGGCAAATTCAGCACTGGGGATAGTGGGTGCAGTTCCTTTGGAGGGCACTGAATTTGCCCTCATTGTCTTTATCATTGTGTGCTTCTGTTGAATCATTTTGATTCCTTAGAGCAGTGTTTTTCAAACTGTGCTCCATGAAACCCTGAGTCCAGAACAGATCACCTGGCGTTCCACAGAGAAACTGGGGGTAAGGGCAGAGTGGGCCAGGAGGCAGTGGGCTGCCATTGTGGGGCCAGGTCACCTGGTTCCACATCCATCTTTAGGATGCGGTAGGGGTTTCCTGGCAGAAAACATGATACGAAAGGGTTCCATGCATAGGCACCAACTTTTATTTTTGCCAGGGTGGGGCCTAAGATAATTCCCTTCCTCCCACTCCCCCCATGGCATGGCCAGAGCAGAGCTGAGTGGAGCCCATGGAGTGGCAGGGGTGGATGCGGGATGTCTACTGTGGCCTCGAGGCTCTCCATCCTACTTCCATTCCCCCAGAAGTCCTGTGCTGGTCATGCCACCATGGCAAGGTGCCCCCTGCCCACCCAGCAGCAGGGAGCACAGTTCCAGACTGCTGCCCCCACTGCTGCCAGGCAGGCAGGAAGTGCCTCCTGCATGGTGGTGCGGCCAGCATTGGGCTCCCAGGGGGAGGTCAGCAGAGCAGAGCCCCTGGGCCACAGCAGGCAGCTTGCATCTGCCCCTGCCCTGCACACAAATCTGAGGAGCATGTGCCTTCCTCTACCTCCCTCCCTACATGCACATGGTGCCCCATGTCCCTCTCCCCACAGTCCCTTGCAGGTTGTAACTGTGCCAGCCTTCCAGGGGAAATGCACCATTTCCCGCATTTTTCTGTGGTGAACAGAAAACCCAGATCCCTGCACAATACTGAGAATCTGGGACAAAGGCTGCCCCAGAGCCATGCAGCCTGGGACCAGGACTTGATGTTCCCATTTCAGGACTGTCCTACCCAATTAGGGATGGGTGGTCACCCTACCCTCTTCCTGAGAGGGGGCAGGACCCTTGGGCCTCCACGTACTCGGCATCTATGGTTACATGACTTTACAAAGTTTGAATGCCACTGCCTTGGTGCTCAAGAGGCAATGATAAAAGCCTCAAATAATCAGGTAACTTTCTTGTCTCTGGCTATGACTTGTAGTTTCAGAACAGAGTGGGGCCTTTCTAAATTAGGACAGTTTAATGGCAACTCAGCCAACTCCAGCTCTAGCCTACATCATTTTTAAACATAAAGTTTTCATTAATTAAAAAAACTTTAATTTTTTAACAATTTTTACTTCATGGATAGGAGGAGAGAAAACCCTGCAGTGTAAAACAGAAACAAATTCAGTCTAAGGGGAAAGCATGATGAATACAAAACTTTCCCCCTGACCAAATGTCACTAACTCCTCCCAACCACATACATGACTATGAACCCTTTTATCATACAGTCATCAAATACTCTTTTAATATGATAATACAGCTTGACTATTACCAGTGGAAACCCATTTAATCTATTCACTGCTCCCTAAGCAAAATTAAATCTTTCCCATCTCCCTACAGCTGTATAAAAAACCCTTACATTTATAATCCTTTACCTTGTTCTAGACATAATCCATATAAATTGCTGTTTTTCCCCATCTGCTGCTAAACTTGTCACTTCAACATAGATTTTTTTTGAGTTATTTGAAAATTAGCATTACATATTTCTTCATTTAGTGAACTGAATCATGGATGTGCAGCTACCTTGAAATGAATGTTGACAGATGAGGAATGGAGGACATTTCATTTTAAGTAGAGCATAACTGCTCCTGAGTTGAATGTAAAAAGGTCTCTAAATCTGATTCTGAGACAAACATTTGTTTTTCTGTCAGATCGCTGCAGCACCGTTCTTGATAAACCATCTGGGTCTTTGAACTCTTTGAACTACCCATCAAAATATTCAGATAATGTCAACTGCATGTGGCTCATCCGAATCCCATCCAAACAGGTAATTACAGGGCTTTAATAGTTTTACATATAATTGAATGGTTTGCATTTTGCTTTGTTTCCTGAGCTTCAGCTCCCAGAAAAGGTCCTTTGCATGATACAGAAGTCAGATGAAGTCACTTCCTTGGCCCTCATAAAGTAGGTGCTTCTCTAATTTCTAATATTCTTATTCATGTACTTAACTAGGGATAGGAGAAAACACAGGGGTCATTTAGATTTTGGAGACCCTCAATGAGTAGCATTTTGGATTACAAAAGCAGTGCAATTAGTTCCTTTTCATCTGAACCCCAGAAAGTCCTGAAGAGCTGTTGGGTACGTAGCTCCCAAGTTCTAGCATGTGCATAGGTTTAACTCAGTCTGTTCTAAAGAAAACTAAGCAAAGCAGTCAGTTTAGTGAATGTTAAAGAGTTTGATTCCTTTCCTATTTCAGGTTTTTTTGCAGTTTGAAGGCTTTGATCTTCAGTCCTCAAAAGACTGTCAGGCTGACTATATTAAAGTCTATGATGGGGTCAGCAAGTCTTCCAAGGTTCTTCTGGACAAGACGTGTGGGTCAAATTTGCCTGTAAACTTAACATCTTCTGGTACAACTATGCTAATAGAGTTCGTCACTGATAGTACCGAAACAGGCACTGGTTTCCAAGCCTCCTATACTTCTGGTGAGTTGAGCATACAAACAGGTACAGGGCACAGAACAGGTACAGGGCACAGAAAGAGAATATTTCAAGAAGTAATTAACAGACTTGTGTAGGAATGACCATCATCCTACCTTGCGTCACTGATAGGACAGATCAGTCTTATTTCAATATTGTTGCTAATTCCAGAAGATAGACCCACATTCCCCAACACTGTTGGTGCCACCCATGTGTCAGGGTTTCCAGATTCTCCTGTTTGAAATGTCTCTCAGATGTGTGCCACTGAAAAGCTCTTCTTACAGGTTGAATTAGGAGTATGGTTAACTATATTTGACTACAGGGCTTTACATGAATTTTAACACAAGAGGGCTTTACATGAATTTTAGCCTGAGTCTGGTCCCACTAGAGTGAAACGCATTTGGGGATATATACTAAAGAAAAGTGTATTGCATAAGTGTAACCCAGCCGAGAGGCTCATGGAGCAAAAGTCTGTATGAAATAACAGCAGTAGTAATACTGTTCAATTGATATATTATTTATAGCATAAGATACATAAATAATGAAATGTTTAATCCTCAGTAACAGATGCAGCTCACAACTAGACAGTTCATTAAGACCAGATGGATTCAGGGAGGTCATCACCAGGGATCTTGGTTCTCTCTGATTTAAAAATTCTCCAATTTTCAATTAAAATAAAGTAACAACAATCCACATTTTGTTGCGATTAAAATGAAACACCGTTATGCATACATACATATATACATATATATATATACACATACATACATACATATATATATATATTCGTGGTGTTTCATTTAAATCACAGAAAAATGTGGATTTGGGGTTACATCTTTAACCAAAAATTGGGGATTTTTCTAAATCAGAGAAAACCGGGATCCATGGGCATCACAAAATCAAAGGCAATGTATCTTCCCACTAGCTCAAGCTCCTTAGCATTGAATCCCCCCAGCAGAAAGACCTTTTATTCACCAGTAGTTAAATAATCACTAAGGATTTTATACTGTAGTCCCTTGGTCTCTTGCAATCATGTTAGTGGTAGTTAGGTGCAAATGCAGAGAAGAAAGTATTGTAACTCTCTGGGCTCTGCAAAGCTATATGCCAGCTAAAGGTGCCTAATACTGAAGAGATGCAAGAATGCATGGACTGTAAATTGCAGCATGGTCAGATAAATCTATATTTACATAATCTTAAGACACCAGTATCCACACACCAAGAGACAGCACTGCAAACTAAGCATTCTATTTCTCTCTCTCTTTTTTTGTAGTAAGGGTACAAAAAAGCTGAAAGAAGAGCAGCCCTCAAATCAGAAGAGAAGAGCTTATTCTGTGAATATCTAAATTATGTCTTTCCCTGTTCTGCTTCTTTTCTTGCTCTTAATGTGAAATTAATTCTGTGATAATTCAAATCATCACCATTTAGAGTAAGTCCCTTTCCTGACTAAGATATACCTATGGGAATTCTATATATCCTGTATCACTCCCCCCCTTGTGTCAGGAGATTGCTGCTCTTTGCTTGGGTATGTTAAGTTGCTATTGGAATAATTAATTTATTGTCTCTTTCTATTTAATTAACAATTTAATAAAATCTTCATTGAAAGGGGGGAAAAACATTTTCTCTGTCCCTTTTTGAGTTCCATTAGTTTATAATTTTTGTTACATAATAATGGCTCTCCTGCCCACTCTGTGCTTTATATATAGGAATGATGTAAGTTCTTGAAAATAGATGTGATGTTTGTAAATCCAGAGTCGAAGTTGACAGCAGAGATCTATTATAAGCCTTACTTTGATCTCTTTCCTGTTTTTCATTAAGAGTAAATTATTTTTGTCACTCTTTTTGGTGACCAACATCACATGGATATAAAGTACATACTGATATGAAGAAAAATAATGAAAGAAGCTAAGACAAAAAATTATGATAGGACAATGGATAAGATAGCTTTTATTAAGTATATTTGGACTGAGGAAAAACCTAGCAGGTATATAGGTCTATTAGTAGAGGAAGAGAGTAATATTAATTATGATGGAAAAAAGGTAGAATTGTTTATAAAATTTTTGTTTAAGAAGCAGCACAGTGGTGTGTTTATGTCAGATGAGGAGGATTATGCACTTTCCAGTCCATTAGTAACCAGGAAGAATGTTATACAAAACAAGGGGAACCATATTTTTACATCAGCAAGATAACTTGCACGCAAGAATCCTAGAATTGCTTGAGTGACAGCTGCCTAGTCTACTAATGTTAACGTTTAGTAAATCTTGGAATACCACAGACATTTTAGAAACCTGAAAGAATACTAGTGTCGTACTAGTATTCCAAAAAGACAAATGAAAGGAGTAAGGTAATTAGAGACTAATTAGTTGACCAATCAAAAAGCTGATAGGACTATAATTAATGCCAGTTGGCATGTCTCTACAGGAAAATAGATATTGTCAAGCAAACCTGATTTCATTCTTTGAGGATATTATAAGCTTGGTTGATGAATGCAGAGCTATGCTGTCTGATTCTTGCCCTCTTGATAGGGTATATTTATTCAGCAGCAAACCAGTACCCTTCTCCCCACAGAGCTAGTTATCCCAGCTGCAATGAGTGCACTCAGTGTGATTGACCATTAAAACAAACTAACTAGGGAAACAATGGATTCCTCAGATGAAGCTGGGATGTTTTTCCAGAAGCTATTCCTTAACCTAGTACAAATTATCAGGCTCGGTAAAGTCAAAAGTCTGTCCAATGCCAACAAGGTAAATGCATATCCATTTCTGCAGCTGCCTTTAATGCCCCAGCTTGGACAATAAAATACCTATTTATAGCTGAAGACAGCTGTCAGCACAACTCTAAAGTAAAGCTTGGGCTAATGCATCTGTAACTATGACAAGGAGCCTTAATCACTGTGCCACCACCACACACTAGCTATTTTATGACTGAGTACGGAAGTGTAACTAACAGGGTTTGTGCCCTGAGCAAATCCTGCTGGAGAACAAGAGTTGAGGGGAGGTACCACTGAGCGAAGGAGGAGAAGAAGGATGCGGGAGTCTTACCTCTTACTCATAAAATGCCCATGGCTACTGCTGCATGGTCTGCCTGCCACAGTTATTTCTGCTACAGCAGAAGCACAGTGTCTGTTCACCTGGCTGCTGCTGCAACAGCAACGGAGTGTCCCTACTAAGTTGGCACTTGGAACTAAAGGCCATTATTCCCTCTTACACCTCCTATCCTGGTCACCACATCTCAACTAAAGGCTGCAGGTTCCAAGCCACATGCCATTTTCCCCAGACCATGCCTCAGACATGTCCTTTATACTACAACCACCATATAATTCACACTCTACAAGGGTTTTGGACCAAGAGAATATCCAGGAAGTTTGTTAATCCAGTTTTGATATGTGCTGCTGGAGAAGCAAAAAGAGGTGGGAACAGAAGCCAGAATCTAACCCTGACTGGACATGCTCAGAAGCTTAACACACACATTAGCAGAGTCACTTCCCATCACGGTCTCCTTAAGGGATTATGACACGGTTACAGGTTAGATAACGCTGTTCCATAAAAGATCTCTTCAAGGAAATGGACATGTAAAGGAGCAGCAGACAAGTACTTCCTGGATGGCCCAAGTGGGGCAGGGGGAGAAGCTAGCTCTTCTGTCTACTTGGCAACTTTGCTCTCATACCTAGACCCCAAGCAGGGGTTACAACCTCAAAGATTGTGAACTGTGCCCAAATTATTGCCAGAAACCAAAGGAAACTACAAGGTGTGGATGCCTGTGGGACCAAGCTGTGCTAGGAAGGGAGGCACTGGGATGGCGCCCTACCATGCTCTTGTATTAACATGACTTTGTGTGCACAGTCACTCCAGCCTGAATAATTTGATTTCTATCCTGCTTAGTGCTGTTGACACTTGCAGGATTTTAATACAGAATAAATTATTAAAAGGGTCTGTAGAAGCAAAGAGATGATCAAATAATGAGAACAACCTATGTTCATGTTCCCACTGTAAATAATAAAATCTAAAAGAGAAGATGTTCCTTGGGCCATCCAGGAAGTACTTGAAAAAATTGATTCATCTTAAATCTATCTTCTGGTAGTAATATTGCAAAATGGAATATTTTTCCATTGCAATGTTTGAGGGGATCTTTCAAACTTAATTGCTTTTCATTGCAGAAAGGGCAACGTGCTGCAGACCATAATGATGTTGTTAATGACTCAGCAGGTTGAGCACTCTTTAGTCTAGGGAAATATCTGTTGTGATAAAATGAGAGACTACACCCCCAAAGCACCTGCCCAGTCTTCACCCTAGGGCTACTATATTGCACCCAGTGACCTAAGGCCCAGAGGAGACACTCTGGCAGCCAGGGAAAGGTAGAATACAGGGACACTCCAATCCTGCACCATGACCCCTGTCACTTCCCCAGTAACCAGTCAACTGTAGACGTGCCCTTAGATAATGAAACATTCATGCTGATAGTGAAAATTAACCAGTGCATAGAAGAAACAATATTTCAGGCTAATGATGAAGAGTGAGAAGAATCTATGTTCTCCGGAGGATTCTTGTCTTTCTTCCTGACACTGGGGAAGAAGCAGCTTTTTCTTCTACAGTTTTCTTCATGATGGCATAACTGCAAAAAGACAAAATGTGCTTGGATCTTGCATTCTGGTCTAAACTATGTTGTACCTGAAACAGAGCTAGTACTCCACAATACCCCCTGAGGATTCAACTTGTGCTACCAGAAACCAAGGGCACTTAGTACTTGATTTCAAACCCACTAAGGCCAGTGCATGTCAACAGGCTTTGTATGAGGTTCTTGGGCCTAGTTTAGGCATTGCTTCATTCAGTGTTGTAATGCCTAACTGACTTAGGAGTCTCAGTTTCATTTTCAAAAGTGATGTAGGTACAGAGGCGCAGATCCCCAAAAGTATTTTTGCACCTAACTCTCATATAAATCAAAGTCTCTCCTCCAAACAGTTTTTCTATGAAGCTCTGAACTTGTCTTCCAATACAATATGTATTTCTAAACACAAACAGACAAAAAGCTATGGAACCATCAAAACCTAACATCCATACCTCCTTATATCTCTTTGCCCTGCAGCATTTGTTACCACTTTTTTTTTCATCTTTATTTAGGGACAGATTTTTAAACAAGCTCCAGAACAGATTTGCAATAGAGATCAGTTTGTGTTTATATTGGTTTGCTCAAATCCTCAGCATCCAGCAATTCCTAAGAAGGATTTGTCTACACTGTATGGCTAGACCAGGTTAACAACACTCGAGTGACCTGGAGTATTTGTAATTCCACAGCAAATCCTCATGTTTCTGTTTCCTCACTGGTTCTGCATTCTTCCCTGTCTGGGATTATATCCCTTAATTTTTTTGGGTCACAACACTCCAAGAGACCATTCCTGCCCTCAGGGAAGCATGGGAACACTATAAGCATTCAAGTTACTGTCTATTCCTTGCTTCCTCACCAAAACGTACTTTATCCCAAGCTGAAATACAGTTAGGCTTTAACCCAACTGTGCAAACAACATGACTCCAAAGCACAAATAATCACAGATCTAAGGGTTTTGGGTGTTGATGTTGAGAAGGTAGTTTGGGCAACAACATATGTAGGAGCCTGGGCTAAGACTATCCTATACATATGTCCTTGTGGCCAGCTTTTCAAAAGTGCTCATTAGCCAGCTTGCTGAACTCTTGAAAACCTGTCTCATAGCTTTCACTTCTGCCCTGTATTCATCTGGACAATCCCAGCAGTGACTGATATGTTGTAATTACTTGTTTAACTCTGACAGCCTTAGACTGAAAGGTCTTTAAGATAGGAATATTGACTTCTATTTATCTGTAATGCACAATGCAAATTTATACTGCTGCATAGATCAATAAATAATAGCAACTTATGCCCAGGCCTTCAGGGATATTTAGGCATATATGTTTCTTTGAAATCAAAGGGATTTGGACCTTAGCCCAAAGCTAACTAGTCTCTCACTTTTATTAATATTCCCCAGCACCACTTCATGCTTGCAATAGTACTTACCAAAAGTGTAATTAATCATGAATCCATGAAACACCCAAACTATATCACTGTGAAATTCTACCAGCACAAAATTCTCAGTAGAGGTAAATTCTGGGATCTTCATTGTCCCACAGTATGGGCCAGCAGCGGGGGATGTGGGCCGGCTTCCATTGTGAATGACCAAGTAGTCATACCGGCATTCATCAATATCTTCCAACTCAAAGAAAACCACTTTTAGAAATATCTGTAAAAATTACAACAGAAACTTTGCCTGCATCTTATAGCCTTTCCCCTACCCTTTGCCTGTCTTGCATATCTAAACTCTAAGGACCGTATCCTATTCCACCTACAATATGAATAAGTGGATTTAGGAACCAAAGTGCAATTCCATGCTGGAGTCCCAAAAAAATACATTAATGCAAAAGGTAAGTGGGTTCTTTTCCACTTTGCTGCTTTTTAGTGATTTGGTCTTACAGACAAGCTGATGGCAAATTACAAAAGTAGGAGCATTCATAAATTTTTCAGGACTTGAACAAGGGGGCATTAAAATTGTGATAGGAACAGAATCCACCTCTAAATTCTTTGGTACAAAAGCTGTCTTTCACTGTGCTTGCAATGGTACCCTCTGAGTTAGGCTCTAGGCTGTACTACAATGCAAATTATTAGTAGTAATAGCATTTTGTGTTTGCTGAACTCAAAAGTCATTTGGACTGCAGGTGGCAAGGGATGGGAGGCACTCTTGAGCCATTTGGTTAATCTCCTGTGTTTGGTTAATCTCCAGACACTAATGTGCCTGCTACTAGGTGAGCCAGGACCATGACCCAGGTGCAGGTTGCCGGGGCAACCAGGGGAAGCAAGTACCCAACACCTGCATGGTCAGCTGACAGGAAGGGGACAGGGCCTGGCCCTTATATAAGCCACAGGTGGAGGCCAGGAGAGGCCCCTGCCTGCGACCAAAGGAGAAGGAGCTCTGCCCTGAGTGAAGAAAGGGAAAAGCCTGAATGTGGGTGCAGCTGGTGATACGGGTGAGAGAGGAAGCACTTGTGGGGTGGCTGAGAGGATGTTTTAGCTGTGAGGCCTGAATTTAAGTTATAATGTGGAGGCTTGTGTTTTGTGTTTGTTGTTTACACCGGAGGAATGGGTGAGGCTATAAGGGGATGGAGGAGGCCTCACATGGGAACCATGACAGTGTGGGAGCCCCAGCCCCAAAGGGTGGGCAGCGAGAAGGCCCAGAGAGGCAGCGGGCAACGGAAAGGCCCCAGAGAGAGTGGGCAAGATAGACAGACAAACGTCCGGTCCATCAGCGAGGCTTGGGGCGTGATACAGGGGTGGTTGGAGCCATGCATAGCCCATGAGGCGGGGGTGCACCTGAACACCCATACCAAACACTGGTCTGGCATACCACAGGAACCGTAGCCAAGAGGACAAAGGGCAGCCTCCCTATGATTTAGAAGATTAAAGACAAGGTGGGTGAGATTCTGAGGGTGCTTGGAGCACGCTTGGCACGGTACAGAGAGGGGACCTAGGGGCAGCACGGCGACCATAGGACTCCATCCTGCTACATCCTGCATTAGGGCAGGATTGAGTTTTAATTCATCAGGGAAACGAGTAGAGCTATACTACTTCCAGTTGCATGAGCTACATTATCTCCAGTTATTATATTATTAATAATATAATTAATAATATAACAATATTATCTCCTGTTATTATTATATAAATATATTTTATATATATATTATTTCCAGTTACATGAGCTATATTATCTCCAGTAGTCATGAGCTACTGAGCAGTCAGAATCACAAAAAAGTCATTCCTCAGTGCAACTGAGCAGTTACTCATTACTGCACTGTTGTTTAGTACTTGTATATTCAAGTACTAAATGACTACACAGTAATGACTGCGCAGTCAGTGTCTCATGTAGATGTGGCCAAAATGTAGTAGAATAGTCCTTCTTGTAATCATAGAATCATAGAAAAATGAGGGCTGGAAGGGATCTCAGGGGGTCACCTAGTCCAACCCCATGCTCAAAACAACTATATCATCCCAGCTAAAGTTTTGTCTAACCAAGCCTTAAAAACCTCCAAGAAAAGAGACTCCACAACCCCTCTGGGTAACCTGTTTCTGTGCTTTACTACCCTCTTACGTGGAAAAGTTTTTCCTAATATTTAACCTAACCTTCCCTTGCTACAATTTGAGACCGTTGCTCCTTGTTCTGTCATCTGCCACTGAGAACAGTCTAGCTCCATCGTCATTGTAACCACACTTCAGGTAGCTGAAGGCTGTTATTAAATCTGCCCCCCAACCCCAGTTGTCTCTTCTCTAGACTAAATAAGCTGAGTAGTGCAAAAAGATAACTAGTCAATGAGCATTACTGGATGCAGCAGCCTAGCCCTTAACCAAGTTATCAGGCTCAGTAAAGTCAAAAGACTGCCCAAAGCCAATAAGGTAAATGCATATCCAATATCCAGTTCTGTAGCTGCCTTTAATGCCCCAGCCTATGCAATAAAACTCCTATTTAATGAGCATTGCTGGAGCCAATAAACTAGCCCACCCATACCTCACCTGGTATCCTGGAGGTGCACCAACAATCCAAAAACAGTCCTGGTTTTTCGGATATTTGTTGGGGTAGTTTGGAGAAGTAATGACCCCATATGCATTTGTAAAAGTACCTCCACATTTCACTAAGGGAAAAAGAAACAGATCCGTACAGAGATAATGTCAAGATAATATATTGAGAGCAAGAAGAAACACAACTATTTATATTCCTTTGTATTCTGTCATAGGGAAAAGAGGAAATTTATCCACTGAAAGATTACTTTTAGGCAGCTTATTCCTATGGCTAACACCTATACCTGTAATTGCTTTAAAAGAGCTGAGAACATAGGCAATGTATTTGCTACAGAAAAGAGGGGTCACATGCAACTGTATCGGAGAAAGAATTATGTCCAGCAATCAGTTCATCCACACATAAAATGCAGCCACCTCCAACTGCACATTGCAATATTACTAAAGATTTGAGTTTCAGAACATGAAAAATATTAGAGTCAATAGGATCACAGGAAAGTAGAACTGAAAGGGACCTAAAAAGGTCATCTGGCCCAGCATTTCTCAACTTGTGGGTCACAACCCAAATGTGGGTCATAAGAATATATGGAAGGGTCACAAACAAACTTTAAAAATGAATACTTAAAGGAGAAAAACCTTGGGAATCCGTGGCTTTTCCTTTGATGCTTGGCAGAGTTTCAGCCTGCAAGGGGCTGCTTGGGGGGGCCTCCATACCCCCCACCCCTTACCCCACACACTGGGGGGCTGGGGTGGCAGGCAGTGGGTCAGGAGTAAGGGGCACTAGGTCTGGCCATCAATATTTACAAATGGGTCCTGGTACAAGAAAAGGTTGAAAACCACTGATCACCAACTTATATTTCTCTGCTGCAGCTTAAGTCCATTGCTCCTAGTCACATATGCCCTAAAGCCATAGAGAAAAGGCTATCTTCACCTCTCTGTAATTGCCTTCATCAGTCTTTTCTCCAGACTAAATTACCTTAGTTCTTATATCCATTGAAATTTACCAAAAAATTGTGGTCCTTTTTCTTACTTATAAAAAGTGTCATGGGACCTTCTAGCACCTACATGTGGCCAGGACTGTGCTTTCACATCTCAACAGAAAGATTTATTGCCTAGAGGCACAGTGCCCTCCAGTACTACATAGGAGCATGGTGAAGAACTAAAACCATTTCCTGTAGTACCTGTGCATTTCTGAGTGGTCTCTACTCAGGTCTGGGATCACAGCAAAGAGGAGTCACTGGGCCTTATAGTGTTCTACAGCTTCTTTTCACCCTGTGGATATACTTTTTCTGTCATCTACTGTTGTTCAGTTCCTTGAATTTACAACAAGTTACTCTTAGAGACCCCAGCAAGGATTCACAGATCTCCAAATGGACACGGGATATAAAGGTTGTTGGTCCTAGGGCCATGGAAAACTCTATTTTTCATTTCCCAATCTAAAAGCCACCAGGTTTAAGCAGTTGCTATGTGTGGTAAAAAGGACATGGAAAGATTACAGCAATAGGATGGGTGTATTCTTGCAAACTTGCACAAAATGTTAAGTTCTCAGGAGTGTTTGCCAAGCAAGCTCTGTAAATGAGGAGCTGTCCTCACCATGACTATAGGAGGCTGTGAAACCTGTTCCTGCAATAGCCATATCACTCACAAACTCTATAAGCATCATGTGTCCAGAAGCCACCAGTGCTGGTAATGGAGCCACCCCACAATACTTGTCCAGCAAGATCCGGGCGTTTCTGCTGCTTCCATCATAAATGCGAATGTAGTCCGAAGCACAGTCTGGAGAAGACTGAAGGCTAAATTCCTGAAACTGCAGGAAAACCTGAAGAGGAAAAAAATCCAGAAAATTAAAATCTTCCCTGGCACCTGCTCTTTTTTATTCTCATTTAACCCTGAATCAAATCTCCTATCTACGTGAAGGTTTTCCTGTGAATCTGTTTTAGAAAGGATCTTCCTCAAACCCTGAGCTCCTCTCACAGTCCTTATTCAGAAGAGTAAACCTTTTCCTCTGCTGTTTTTTCCCTTTTCCACCATCCCCACTTATTATCCTTTATTTTCCTGTCCTTCTTTTCATTGATGCGTCTTCCATCTTGCTAGTCCTTCCATGGTCATCTTCCCTTACCTGCCTCCAGCAATACTGCCCTTGAATCCATTTTACTTCTGGTCTAGTTTTCATCAGCTGCCAGCCTCTTTTTCACAACTCTGCAACTCTTCAGTTCTGCCTTAGTGATTCCCTCTCACAGAACCAACCATTAGATCATCTAGTCAGATCTTTATAAAAATGCCATCCAAATTATATTATTAAATTTTCATCTATTTGCAGCTGTATTGAGCCAAATACCATATGTTTAGTTAAAGCATATCTTCCAAGATGACGGCCAGTCTGAAGACATCAAAAGATGGAAAATATGCCACTTGCTTTGCCAGTTTGTTCCAATGTTTAATCGCTCTTACTATTATTTGACATAATATATGATACATAATGATATAATTGCAGAAACTGCTATTTTTGTCTTGTGTTCACATAGCTCCTGAAACAGTGAGATCCTGGTCCATTGGTAGAGCTATAACGATGATGATGATACAAGAATAATACATGAACATCCTTTTTCCTAAAAGTCACCTTGTTCTGTGGAATTCGTATGAGCCAGAGGCAATTGCTATTGTCTGGGTATGGAGATGGGTAGTTGGCAGAGGAGAAGGTGCCATTAGCATTAGGAAGTACACTGCTACAGCGATCTGAAGGAAGAACAAAACAGTTCTGAGGAAAATAAGAGGTGCAGAAGAATCTCGTTCAAAAGGAAAAGGAGACAGAGCTAGCTCAATTCATTAATGTCACTCATGTTTTTAAAAGCATTAATTGTCACGTTTACTAATGTGTCAGAGTTCTCCTACAGAAAGAATTAATTGACTGTCAGTGAAATAATGATGCTAATAAAAGAAAATCGTGAGCCATTGTGATGTTTCTTGATTAAGATCACACTGAATCACACACATTAATACAATAAGCCCCTGATCCTTCACAAACATGTTTAACTTCAATCAAAAAGTAGTTCCATGGAAGTCCACGGATCTATTCTCATGGGTAAATTTAATGACATGCACAAGTGTGTGGAGAATCAGACTCTTGGGATGCAGAATGTGGCAAAATAAACAATGATAATCATTGTGAGCTGGTAGTAGTACACTGCACTGTGCAGGGACAGAGGAGCTGCCTTATTAGATTAATTCATTGGCTCTCCAAGTCTGGACTCTGTCTGTCTGTCTATGTCTTACATGCATGGCCTTCATTACCATGACTTTTGGGTATCTTCCAAAATGTCTAAAGGCAAAGCCATAGCACTCTTCCTTTCTCTCTCACTATTCTCTTGAGTCAGCAAAGTTTAGACTGTTTTGGAGAGCTTTTGTTTTCTTGTATTTTTTCTTTTCTGGTTTTTGGTGAGGAGTACTTGTTTCTTGAGGGGTGTTTTTTTGGTGAGGAGGTTTGTTGTGCTTGCTTTAATTTGATTTGGTTCTTGATATTTTTAATCTGGTCTTTTCAACTCCCCAAAACAAAGTCACCTGTTCAGTGCTTCCTCTGAAGGGTGATTTATTCCTAGCTCTCATCAGCTATCATCCCACACACTGAAACTGGAGGTTTAATTACTCTTAGCATTTTCACAACATGCACAACTGCTACACAGGGTTCTTTGTGACTAGTGATCTCCAGAAGGAGAGTAAAATTAAAGACTGGGAGGAAACTACTCTCAGCACCCACTTTTGTTCTTAGTTACCCAGGGGTAATAACACTTATTTTGATTAATTATTGTAGGAGTATTCATGAAGTCTTCACTCATCCAATTTAAAGCAAATTTAGGCATTCTGATGCTAAGATAATAGCATGTCTCTTGTCTATTTCCTGGAAACTGATTGAATCACAGATGTTAAAGATGGAAAATACCAGTACCTACTAGATCAGTTAGCTCAGTTGGGGCCAATATTTTTGGCAAGCATACCACAAGGTAAGCACTAGACACTCCTTGAGTGCCACTCTAATCCCCTTCCCTTGGCTGACCTGTTGCTTTGCTCTCTCCTCCGTCCCCTGTCTGTTACTGTGTTCTCTGCTCTCTCCCCAGTCTGCTGTTGGCCACATACGGGGCTGCCCATGTCATTTGTGGCACACGTGCTGGGGTTTGGTCACCCCTAAATGAGCTCGTCCACTGGGAGTCAGAGCAGAGAAGAATTTCTAGCACTTTATCAATGCTGTTTTAAATATCTTGAGCAATGGGTTCCTACCAGCTCCCAGTGCTCCTGGACCCTCAGATACCATAGGGATGACTGTGGGATGGGTAGACAAAGAACAAGGTACCTAACATAAAACACCATAACCAAGGAATTCCCCTCAAATTGCAGATTTGATGTACACTATAGCTAACCTAAAGTACATCCATGTTTGCAGCCCCATGATCATTATCTTACTGACAAAAATTACAACTGGCCTGTAACAGGGATAAATGTCTTTCTAAATCACAATCACGGCTGAGGAAATTTCATGTTTGCAGATTTTGGAGATTTTCTGAAGAGAGAAATTCTCAGAGGCAGCTTCTGTGACTCAGAAAGATGTTGAGCATATACAACAGGTTCAGCACCTCTTGAAAATTACAGTCAGATGAAAAATGACCCTTGTGAAAAGGGTCAATACAAAGCCTATACACCATTTATGACTTTTGTGACCTTCAAGGTTCAATCTAGCTCTAAATGCATCCTGGCCCTCTTTCTGTTTTGGATCTTTTGAGAAAGTGGTGAGATGAATTCTTGGGGTAAATCTGGCAGCTTCTAATTATATTAATTAGCATAAAATGTGTGTCTAGTACTTGGGGCACTTACTGCAGTTATAGATCTTATTGATTTTAGCCACATCCAGGTTACTCAGTCCATATCTCTGTCCAATGGGTACAGAAGGATCAGGAATTGGTACGATAGTCGCTTTCCCAGAGGTGTTAGAGAAAGCATAGCTTCAGAAATGGGAAAAATAACATTACCAGATCAAATTCCTTTTAAAATTATACAAGTTTTGCTACTGTAAAAAAAACAGTAATGTACCATCTACATACAATTTTGAATGGAATAAATAAATGGAAGAGGGCAAACAAAGAACACTCAGAGGAATGAGATATAAGAAGCAGCAGTGAAGTAGCAACCTCGAGCCTGGCAAAAATAAAAATAAGAAACAACGGAGAAAGGTACCATTTGTTGGAATGATTCTGTTCACATGATGCAGGAAGCGAGTGATATCTTTTATTGGAGCTGTTGGCCACAAAGGACCAACTCTCGGGATCATCATAAATTCTAGTTTATTGGACAGGATGTGAAGTTACCAATAAACTCATAAATGCAAAATTTGAGTTATGAGTGGTACTAGTCACCTTAGCGTGTGCGCGCGCGCGCGCGCGCGCACACACACACACACACACACACACATAACCACTCGCTCATTCAAACCCATGTCATTTAAACCCATGTAGTGTAGCGTATAGTAGCTGCTGTAGTGATTGTGAGAGCACTGGTATCAGTATATCTACCTATCTGAGGCCCTGGAGTCTGCTGTCAACGGTCAGCTTCCTTCAAGGCGATGTCTTCTCCAGAAGGGGGTCGCCTGCTTGTCCTTCTGTCTTGATAGGTCAGGTGCTCAATGAGAGGGCACCACTGAGGGTCGCGCTTCACTGCCTTTTATCCTTTTCTGGCAGACTTGTGTGATCCCCCATCATCATCTTGGCTGCCCAATCCAGAGGTCACTGTCCCACGTGGGTTTTGAGTAGTACATGACAACTGTTAGTCACAGGGTTCCCTGCCTGCTGGTACCTGAAGTTTCAGGAGTCCATCCTTGACTTAATGGCTGTATTGTCATGGGTTACAGGAATAGTCAATAGAGTGGGTGCTTAGTTCCAAGAATCAGTTCCTTGGCTTGATTACCATAAAATGGCTTGTAGAATAGAGTTTTGCAATGGTAAGTTTCTCTGACTAGACTATTGTTAATTAACAGCCAAAGGTACTTGGTTTGTCATTTATACTCGCATTCATTCAAGGGACTGCCCAATATAGCAGATTTTATCACTTTACAATTACAGTTTCAATGCAGGCTTTAACAATGGTACAGGGTGTAACTTCATTCTGTAGGGAGTACATTGCTTAAGGGTTTAAAAGTATAAAATATAAAATGCCACGGTAAAGACGAGATGGATGGAATACAAAAACGCACTGTGAGAAATATATAAAAATGCAACGTGAGATAGTGAAGCTCAAAGGTAACTGGGGACAGTAAATGAGTTGTTAGCACCAGGATATATTTACAGTCTTTGAAGTGAATATTTTAGTTCTTTTGTTTTCTTTAGTGACACTGAGCTTAAATTGATATGTAGATATAGTTTGTAGGTTTATCCTACAGAAAGCCACTTCAGCTTTCTGGCTTGCTTTGAGCCTTGCCACACCCATACAATGAGTGTGCTAGGTCTCTGCCAATACATAGAAGGAAAAAGAAATGCACAAAATGGGGAGGAGGCAGAAAAGAAGGGAAATGTCCAGAAGGGAAATGTACAAAGGGGGCTTTCTGCTTCAGAGCACATGTATAGTTAGGAAAAACTTTAATCAGGCTTTCGGACCCAAAAAGTGCCCTTCTTCAAGTCTGAGAAAGAAGCAGACAGTACAAGCTAAATACCAAATAAAACAGTGTTCTCACATATTCCCAGAACAATTATGGCTACAACAACATCCTGACAAGTTGTTGAACAGAACGAGCTGTTTTGCCATTGGAGATAATCAGTAGCAGTTACTGTCTCAGCTCCTGATTTTTTGTGTACTTGAAACTAATACTTGCTGTTCCTTGCCTTCAGCTAAACAAGCCTTTTTAATTTTAATTACTGTTTTACTGTGAAAAATGCTCAGAAATTTTCTCTTTGCTAGTGGAAATGTGGGACAAGGTGCCTGGTGCAGGCGTACACGTTAAGGGCTAAACTGTGGCATTAAACCATAAGCAAAGATAACATGATATTCAAAAGGTGCTACACAACATTTTTATTATGTAGGGGGGATCCTCCTTCTCTTTCATAGTACTGTTGCTTTAATGACTTAGTGATATCATTAAGAGACCTGTCTCTACAGAACTTAGCAGAGATGGCTCAGAATTCAGAGGCATGGTAGTGCTAAATGTAAAGTTATGGCTATAGATAGGCCTTTAATTTAAATCATTAGTGAAGTGAGAGGAAATGTTGCTTTCTTTTTCAGCCTTATCCCTTTCTATCTTTACTAGAAATAAATCTGGTAGAAGGGATAAATTCCTTCTTACTCCTGCATATCCCCTCATTCAGAGTAAATACCATAAGTCATTCCCTATAAAAATCAACTTTGTGTCCTAAATCTGAACAGAAGACATGAGCTCTTCTTGCTTCTGTACAAGAAAAACTCAAAGGCCAACTTACGCGCCATAGTGCATCACTGAGAAATAGTCATAAGGAAGACCCAGGTTATTGGAATTCACTTTCCCAAAGTTCTCTTGTTCCCCTGTAAGGTAAGAGAGCCATATTTCCATCAACAAAAATAGGATCATGACAAAGGAGCAAAAAAACATTATTAAAGTGATGCTGCAGTTTGCAGAGAACTTGAACTGTTATCATAACCCTAATACGGGAACATGTTTTTTATTCAAAACCATCTAAAGCCCACATGAGTCTTTCTGCTGACTCCAGTCAGTTTTGAATCAGGCCCTCATAGCTAAGTAAGTACTTCGGGCTTCAGTCTATATGAACTGGAGGCCAAAATCAACACCTTGATGCACATGTACTAATCTAATCACTAATCTCTGTCTATCTGAGCAATTTCTAGGGTATATTTCACTATTTAGACACAATAAACAGTACTGACTTCAACCTGATCTGCATACGTGAGTCCAAAAGTAGCATTTGTCTCCAAAGCTGAATCTATGGCCCCCTCTACATGTTGCAGGTATTATGCAATTAACTAGTTAAATACACAATTACCTGGAGACCAGTTACACATCCAAAGTAGCTATCACACAATAAAAAGCTCCATCTAGCTATAAAGTTAGACCTCAAAAATGTGTACTGGCTTTATAGGTGGTTGCTATTGAGCTTTAATTTGTATATATAGCAGAGTGTTCTTTCAACACATGTGAATTTACCCCTTCAGGTGATGGGGCTCCCAGCCATGGGGGTGCACCATGTCCAATGTAAAACCCCCAAGTCATAGGGATTTCTGCAGTTGTGATTCCAAGGACTCAGGGGTGTGGGAAACTCCTGGGGTAGATCATCCTTCAGCAATCCTTTAGCCCCCAGAGTTTCTCCACATCCCCAGGGCAGGGAGATTGCCCCTTGGGCAATTCTTCCTGCTCCAGGGGTTTCCCACACCCTAAGTTTGGGGAGATTGCTGCAGCAGTGATTCTCCAGCCCAGGGATATGTGGGGTGCCCCCGCAGCTGGGAGCCCCTCAACTGAGGTTCAGGGGCTCCCAGCAGCAGGAGCTTGTTGGTGCAGGGGGAGCCTGGGATGTGACAGACCCAGATCCCACCATGCCTAATGGCTGGTGCAAGGGGGGCCCAGGATCAAGGCTCCCAGTTGCAGGCTCCCCCTGCACAACTGGTAAGGTCCAATGGGATCTAATGTGCAATCCCACAATCATGCCTCCTCTCATGCACATGTTTATCCTTCAGTTACACCAAAGTATATCTTATGGGCAAACCCTGAGGTCTTTAATGTAAGGGTTCAGCCAGGATGGAGGCAGCCAAACCTGCATAGGTGGAGGGTCAAGGGCAACGAGGGGGTCAGTAAGGTGGAGGCACAGGTTACCAGAGCATCAGGTTAGGATATGGGCCGGTGGAACAGAGAGTGTGGGACCAAGTTCCAGGGGAGACAAGAGAGGAGATCTAAGAAATATAATCTGAGACATAAATTGAGGTCAGGAGCCAAGGGGAAGAGAACCACTGCTGAGTTCCAGGGAAAATCCAAGATCAACACCAAGGAAACCAAGCTGAGTCAGGATGTCAGAGAAATCAGAGAGCATGGAGCCAATGCTGAGTTTCAGGGGAGATCCAAGATCAGGGTGAGGAAAAGACAAAGCCAGGTCAGAAGTCAGGAGAGCTGTGAATGACAGGCTTGCAGGGACAGACTGAGGCTGTGTCAAGGTTTGCTTGTAGCCTGAGTCTGCAAATGTGTTTAAAAGGGGTGAGTGGTGCTTTCAGCAGCCAGTCTGGTTGCAGAGAACTGGGTTAGTTACATTAGCCATGGATCAGGGACAGGTGTGGTCATTCATGAACTCAGCCCAGCCGGGCCTGCTTGGTCATAGTCCCTGACATTTAGTCAGTTTTGCTTAGCATTAATTCCCACTGATTTCCATTAGGATAAGCAACAGCAAGACCAACCTTCCCAAAGTAACAGCACTAGATAGATTCCTAGGGAACCCTCCTTCCATCCAAGGTAGTTACAAGATAGCTCCTATCACCATAGCAACTGAACCTCTAATAGTCTTTTTTTCTGTTTATCCTTATATCACCTTTATGGAATAGAGAAGTACTGCTGTGTCTGTTTTATAGATGTAAAGCTAAGGCACAGAGACATAAAACCGTGACCGTACTATTACCCTGCTGATCCTGGAACCATCACCAAAAAAACATGCCCTTCTTACTCCACCCAAATCTGACAACTGCAGAACGTAGATGGCTCAGAAAGGTCCTAAACATGCAGCCCAGCACTATTGTCAGGCAGGTGAAATAGTGAGCAGTGATGGGGCGTGCATTCAGGTCTCTCTAAACTGTATACACTGCCAAATTGTCAGGCTGTGGTACATATGGGATAGACCAAAGCCCTGGGCATGTATCAGAAATTCAACTATTCAAATTCCTCCATATGCACAACTAAGCTGGAGGGTTTGTGAGTAGAACCAAATTACCTTTTCATGTCATTGCTGGTCCCAGCCAGGAAACCAGGAAATGCAAAGGCAGCTCAAAAATAAAAAAATAACTAAGGGGGGGAGGAGGAGCCAAGGTTTTTCACAGCACAAAAATGGTTTTGAGGTTGGGTGAAGATTCAATCAGTTCTTACCAGCATTTATTTAATCATCCCTGTTATAGCCTTATATCTATTTATAACAGTTTCCAGTTGCCTCTTTTTTAAAACTTGAAGAAGGAAATGAAAAACTGCTGTACTTTACTATAGTTTTTTTCCCCCTCTCTAATGTGTTTACATGTAGTAACCAGAAGATACTGAAGTTCCTCAACACTAAAGTTTTACTTGGGAACATCAAAAGCCTAGAGATTATAGATGACAATCTTCTCTAATACACTTCACCCAAGGTTCTACAAATGTGGGTTGTTATAAACATTAATTAATCTCACTTCAGTGAGGTATTAGTATTAGCCCTTGTTCTACAGATGGGATATCTGAGGCATCAAATACAAAAGAACACTTTTTTTCTTTAAATGCTAAAGTTTACCCCCAACTTCATATCATGTTCACTGCAAAGAGTGCTCAGCACCTCCTTTTAATATCATGAACAGATGGAGAAAAGAACATAGGTTCCATTCCAACCAAATACTAAAGCATGTGTTAAATCTAGTCTTAAGCTGCATTTCATTTAAGCTAAAATGAAAGCTCTATGCCAAGAAGCAGAACCCAGGCTTGTTTCCAAAACAAGACTGAGAAAAATAAACTAAGTTTCAAATATCTAAGTGTAAGCAGTAGACAGCAACAAAATAGCAATGGGAAACCCTCCAAAGTGAACTTCAGGGTGAAAAAATTACTGCAATCCCAGGGGGGGAAAAGGGAAAAGAAAGTTCTGGGAAATTAGAAAAGATCTCTAGGCCTGATATTGGACCACTGGAACCAATGAGAATCTTGCAACTGATGTATATGGGAGCAGGGTTGGGCAATTAGCAATATCTACCAGGAGATTTACTAGAAATGAGTCAGCTGGTAACAGCTAAATTTAAGGTTTCTTCAGATTAATTTAAAATAGCAATATTTATAAAATGAATGGAATGGGAAAGACACAGCTAATCATCCCCGTGATCTTCCAGTTTATATGTGGTATTCCTTTCTGTAGCTTTTCAGGCCATTTGCTTTTCTTTTCAGACTGTAAGCTGCTCAGGTCAGGGACTGTTGCTCTCTCTGTTTCACATTTGGGAAATGGCTGCAATAATATTAATAAGACAGTTGCTATGGGACACAAGCTGTGAGAAGAGATATACGCTGTGAAGGTTTGAATGGAAAAGTAGCTTCATCCTCACCTTGAGTGTCTCAGGCAATCCTGGAGATGCCTAGATCTCTTCTGTGCTCACACTATTCCTGCACTTTGCACTGCCTCAGCCTCCCATCTCCCCTGTCTTTTCATTCCCTTCTCTCACTTTTTTCTCGAAAATCTTTGCATTTTCCATCTAGTTCCCTTTGATATAAAAGTCTTCCTCTCCTTCTCTGTCCCCTTAAAACTTACTCTCTATGCAAACTCATCAGCTTCGACTTCCTCTCTATAACTTTCATAATCCAAAGAAGAGTAAAATAAAGACCTGTGAAGTCAGCTACATCTACCTCTCACTGCTTAAAAATGTCCAAGCCTGTAGCCCTCCTTTTGCTTAGTTGTGCCCTCCTTCCTGCCTCCACATCTGCTGTCCTTTCATTATAACCTAGGCACTGATCCTGATCTCATTTACATTTGTATAAACCAGGAGCCACTACATTTTTAGTCACTAGAGCAACAGTGCAAAAATGATTTGGATCCAAATGAGGTCCACAATCTTTGGTGTAATTTTAGATTGTAAACCCATTCAATCCACCACCCCCTCTTCAGACTTCTCTGTTAGGCACCATGCATCTATGTGGTAAGTAATTCTAACATTGCCATGCAAATAATTATAGTAATATCAAGTAAAAGGCAACACGACTGAAATTTTTTCAGGACAGTTTGGGAATAAAAAAAAAAACAACATTGGGGCAAATTGTTTTAGGGTTTAATATAGCATAAAAGGATTACACTCAGCAGCAAAGACCCATATATTTCAGTTGTGCCTGCGATAGGAGACTCAAATAATGCATGTTCTGAAATAATTGCCAGCATTGATATTCACTTTCCCATTCTCCTTAATCACTATGTATTGTTTGGAATCATTGAAGATGTAAAGATTTAAACTGATTATTATTATTTATTATCTGGCCAAGCACTGGGACAGATTACCTATAGAGTTTCCAGAATCTCCACCATTGGATGTTGTTAAGTGCAGATTAGACAAATATGTCAGGGATGGTTTGACAGGGATGATCCGGCTTTGATTAGACATTCTCCTTGTCATGGCTCCCTTCTAGCCATGTTTTTCTATTACTCCTATTACTTGAACACTGCAACTCTTGTAGCTTTGGCAGGCCAAAGTAACTGCACAAAAAGGGCTCTTGAAATCCATTTGCTTCCCCACTGTCCCCTGCTGTGACAGTCTCCTCTCTTCCATCCCCTTTTACTTCAAGGAAACCCTGCACTACCTCCAGCTGTCTCCCTGCCCTATCCCAGGGTCAATCACCCTGTCTCTCCAGCTACTAGGGTCTATGTGCACTCCCCATTTCTCGGTTGGGCACATGTGGAGCAAAAGTGGGTGGGCAGAGCCATGCTTCTTAATGTTGCAATCAGGAGCTCTATGAAAGTAGTATAGATATGTTCTCTCTCATGGCCTCCTTTTTCTCCCTTCAAGTTTTTCCAATTTCCTCAACAGCAAAAGGCCTCATTGATGTTGGGAAAATCAGATCAACAAAAAGGGAAGTGGGGCCATAGCCATATGGCACCTCTTCCCTCTGACTGGGAAAATCAAAGTTTCAAGCAGCTCTGTAGCCATCTGTAGAACAAAGAGTCATTAGATGGAAGACATTAATGGCATGCAACAGAACAACCACCCTTAATTTAGCTCTGTCCTTCCCATTCAATGGACTGTAATATATTAGCATGGAAGACTTATTTCCCAGGAAGAACACAAATTTTAATGGGGGAATGGAAATATAGGGTTATGGGGGGAAGTGGGAATGTAAAAACAGAGTATAGGGCCTGTGTATGGAGGAAACAGTAATGGGAGACATACACATCACTCATATGAGGGAGATTGGTAGACAGAGTCCCTGCCATGGTGGCAGAGGGGAAAATGGGGCAGACAGCTGCTGTCAACAGGGGTAGCATACAACCTGAAAGTGTGGGAGAGAACAGAGTAATGGTATAGTTTTCCTGAAGAATGGGTAGAGGAAGGAAGGAAGAATCCAGAAGATTGGGGGAGGCTGGCATGGCTCTTTATATTTTTTTAGATGATTAGACAGAGCAGTGGGAACCAGCCTTTTACGCAAGTGCCCAAGTTAACCACTGTACCCTCTCCAAGTGCCACTCCAATCCCCTTCCTCTGCCTGATTTGCTGCCCTGCCCCTGTTCCCTACTACTTCCCTTATTATATGCCACACAAAGAGGCAACCCATGCACTTTTGGCACCCATGTGGTATGTTGACCACCCTAAGATATATAATTCAGAATTGCCACATTAGTTACAGACAGAGACCAGACCTACACTACAAAGTTTTGGTGGTATCATCGTATTGGCTAGGAGCATGAAAAAAAAAAAAAAAAATCACGCAAACCCTCCCTGGTATAGTCATAGGAGCAAAACTCTTGAGTGTAGGCACAGCTTTCTTAACAAAAGCATATGCTTATGTTGACTTAAGTTTGTGTTGTTTAGGAAGAAGATATAACTCTTCTTGTTGAACGGATTGTGCATCCAACAAGTGGATTCTGCTGTGCTAGCTATTGTATAGACAAGGCCTAAACAGAGAAATGCCTACAGATCAAATTCAGCCAGTTGTTATAATTGTCATCTTCGTTGCTTCTACCACCATCCTGCCCTTCCTCAGCTCAGGCCACCAACTGTTTCTTCCTACATGGTGGACATACCTGCCATAATGTATTCCCACATAATCCTAACATAGTTGTCCCGGTCACTTCGGGACTGTTCATGTATAAAGCCCAGTGCATGGTTCAGTTCATGCTGAATTGCTCCTTTACTCATGCAGCCATTTTTCATCAGGGCCACCATCTGGGCTCCTCCAATCTTTCCAAAGAAAGACCAGCAGCTGAAAGGAACATGCAGTAAATAACCTAAGATGTTACATGCAACAAGTTCATGAGCTGCGTCGTTCTTATCTAGCCACCAAATACCTCTCAATATCTAGCAAAACAGGAAATACATAGTAAATAACTGATAATAGATCTGCTGGTTATTGTGAATTACCAGGCCAGAATTTTACTGGGGAGAAGTCAGGATTCTATGATATAGATTATATTTTTTAAAACAGTAAAGGAGCTGAGTCCACATTAAGACCAATGAGTTCTCAGAAAACACGTTTAATAGAATTGTATTTTTGACTAAAAGTTGGCAAAAAAAAAAAAAAAAA